CAATTCCAAGCGTGGGAGTGCTCTCATGTAAGTTGCACCCAAAGCATACAGAATTAAATCCAGAATTAGTTGTGTCCCTCCAGAGTAACATGTGCACTACTTCCAGATCATGCAACCAGGACCTCTATGGGAGTGTTATTTATGAGTGGTGTATTCTTAGGCCCAAGCCAACTGGTCACAGGACTCATGTGGACTGGGAGTGATATGACCTTGTTCTTGGCCAGGAAAGGGAAAAAGTCAAACACTTTAGAAAATATTTTTAAATGTAACAGCTGCATTTACGAGACTCGCAGCAACACCAATTATATCATGGTGCTGCTTGAAATGTTTGCGGTACTACTGTATGATAGAACCAACGGGTTCTGCAAATTCAAGAAGCCAGGCAGCATCTCTTTCAAAAAGGTCAGGATCTCTGGAGAATATTCCTTTAGCGCAGGCTCTTCTCAGACTACATATAATACATGCAATCTGCCAGTGAAAGGGAAATTATTCCAAAGAGATCCAGAGTTACCTAGTTCTCCAGACTGTGGTTGGCATAGAAAAGGTGGATGCTAGTGGCAACCAAAGTGAACGACTCTGGACCAAGCTTGGGTATGAGGTGGTAGAGAGTGGTAGAGTTGCAAAGCCCCCTGCCACCTGGGGTGGGATGTGATGAAAACGACTTTGCATTTATACCAAGCTTCCTTCCTCTTGCAAACTTCTACTCCTCTTCATTTTATTCTGCCACAACCACCCTGTGAGGTGGGTTGGGCTGAGGGTCTGTGAGTGGCCCAAAGTGAGCAACCCAGATCTCCTGAGTCCCAGCAAAACTCTCTCATTGCAACGCCATCTTTCACTTTGACTGCCCAGCTGCTTTCTCTTTTCCTCCTCCAGTCTAGCCATGGCTGCCGTTCTTCCCGTCCCATTCCAACTTTGATGGACGATGGTGAAAGAAGCCCGCTGATAATTTCCTCCTTTCCCACCCCACCAGTGCCCCCATCCCAGGACATACTAGGAGTGGGGTAGGCATTCATTCCCCTGAACAGTGGGCTCCTCCTGCCATCGTTCTCTCTCCCTCCCGCTGCTGCTTCTTCCTCTCTCCACCTGCTCGTGCTGGCAGTGGAGGCAGCAGTGATACTGCCAGAAGACATATGCCCCTCCTCCTCTTCCTCCTTTTTGCACCCCCACTGTCCACTGCTCCCCATCCACCCTGGCCCTGCCCACTCCTTCAGTCCTCTTTCCTTCCTGGGTGGCAGTTGCTTGTTCCTGCCCTTCTCCTCCTGCTGGTGGTGGTGGTGATGGTGATTCTCTTCCCTTGAGAACTCAAAGTGAGATCCTTCCTTAGAGCAATGCACTGGTGGGGAGGCAGCCTTGGAGATGTCCTGTACTTGCCACTGAAGCACAAGGACTCTCCAACTGCTTCCCTGCCAATGTCTGATTTCAAGAAAGGACCCCACATGGATCAGGAGAGCAACATCAGCTGCTCTGCTCCTGAACTCTTGCTTCCCAGTGACTTTACCCATCCAGTGCTGAGCTCTAACGTGACCACCGTGTGAGGCATCAGGCAGGTGGCACTCCATAAAACTGGGCCAGATGTTCTTGCATCACAGCCTCCCTCTCTTCTTTCACCATCCCCTTCTCCAAAATTGAGCAGAGCTCTATTTTGTGAGGCACCAAGAGGAGTTGTCAATCCCCCCCTTTAACGAGCATACAATGTGGCACATTTATTTCTTCGCACTTGGAAGGGAAAATAACAACTCTTTTTAAAAGCCCATTTCCCTGCACACTTTTCCTCATTCTTCTCCTGAAATTGAATTTCTGTGTGACACAAGATCACATATTCAACACAGTGGAAACTGTGCTCTTTTCATCAACATGTGCCCCAGCAATGGTAAATGTACTGTACATAACCACCCCAATACTGTTCCATGATCGATGGAAAGGGATCTAGAGCAGATTTCCTCATGGAGTACCCTGTATTTCCCGAGGGAGAAGGCAGACATTTGGTTTTGTCTCTTGGCCCACTAATCTCCTCTAGCTCTAACTTGTATAGCTGCAAAGCTATGTGCTAGTTAGACAAGTTTGCCCATACTGGCTGGAGATGTTACTGCAAGCTTCAACTGCAGACACTCATTTAAATTAATTAAAAAGATGTAATTCATTCAAAGAACATAATAACCCCATGACACACACCCATAGGGACTTCTTAGTATGCACTTCAATTTCAGAAGCCTAGATTTCATGGTATTGGTGATCTGGCACTGAGAAACAAAAAGATAGGCATCCTATTTTATTATAAGAGATAGTTCCCTTTGAGGATACAAATCCTCTGAGGAAGGAGACTGGAACCATTCTTGCCAGCTCTGTCTATCCTGCTCGTGTTTCGCCTCTCCTGCTTCTTGGGAGGGAAGCTTTCCCAGCAGGGTCTTGCTGTTCTCCCACAGGCTCCTTGCACAATTTAGAATCACAGGAGCCAACATGGGCAAGGCAGGATTTGTATTGCAGATGTTCCACTTCCCACATTTGGAAGGGGTGATGAAGAGGTGACAGAGAGGCAGGGCATGAGCCACATCCTTTACTCATAACATTGATGAGGATCTGGTCTGGATTCATGGAATAATGACACTTATTGCCTTGTGAAGCGATGATCATTAACACAGTGCTTTAAATTTTGCAACAACAATGACCCAACATGGTTGCATTGATGTACTTTACAATGGAGCCCCACCAAAGAGTCCAGTCAAGAAGTTTACCATCAAAACCTAGAAAGTGTCAAACACAATATGACAGCAAAGGACCTGGATCTGCTTCTAAAGTGGAAAATGAGGGCCCAGGGACATGTAGAATGGTGCTATACTCTCTCTGCATGGTCTGTGAGCTCCCCAATGTATGCATGTGCGCACACACCTTTTTTCACACCATGTGATGTAAACTTGGCTGGAGAAAATTCTCTGGAAGAATGACAATGAGAAGTGAAGTGGTGGGGTGCAGGATAATTTAATTGCCCTCATTTGATGTCCCACATTTTTATATGGGAAGATTACAGAAGACCTGGGTTTAACAAAAAGTGTTCCACTCGCCTTACACCCAAGTATGGTGACCATGTGCAAGTGAACAGAAGAAGAACAGGAAAGGAAGGATAACAGGATAAATATGAGCAAACATATAAACATTTGGCAGGTGAAGGTTTATGAGGCTGGTAGGTATCTTGGAACAGGTCAGCTTTGGAAAGGGATCTGAAGGAAGGAAGGAAGGAAGGAAGGCATTCCTTGCTAGAACATCTGTGCAGAGCTAGCAAATAACCATCTTGAGGAACAGGACAGATTGCCCAATGGATATATAGCTGAAGGAGGATTTGAATCTAAGCCAGATCAGTACGGCAGTGGAACCAGCTGCCAAAAGAGGCTGTGTGCTCTTCCACTCTAGACTCTTTCCATAAGCAGTTGGACAGTTATCTGATCAGGATGGTGTAACTGGCATCTTGCGCTAGCAGGTGGTTGAACTTGATGGCCTGTCTGATCCAGCTATTCTGTTTCAGACTCAAATACTATAACCTTATAAAATTACAGTGGCCTCCACTGCCACCATTCTTCCATCTCCTTACCTCCTTCAGAGTTGGAGAGAAAATCCACATCTACCCAAGCACACTGTTTGTGCACATGCATTTCTATCACTTTCTCAATACATGGAACGGAATCAGTCTATCCAAAAGACATACTGCTTGTTTCCCCGGTGTCACTCGTGTCCCTAAAAGAGGAAGGCCCCTGCTGGACCACACCAATGACCGCAGCATCAAGGAGTCTGTTTCCATTAGAATCCAAACAATTGCTTTCTGGAAGCCATCAGACAGGAAGTCTGCTAGGTACCAATTCAGACTCAGAAGACCAAAAAAATCTACATATACTCCAGCGTCTGTGTTTGTTACTTTAAAGGACCCTCCCTGCCAAGGATACCCCTATTTGCAAAAGGGGATGTGAACACAGGAGAGTACATTTGGTTCATGAAAAAACCTCAGGTAGAAAGATATTGTGAGGACCAGCAGAAGGCAAAGCACGTGTGGGCAAAAGGCGCACATAATCAAGGAAGAAAAATGCACCTGTGACCATCAGGACCCCTGTACCTTTACTTTTGTAAGTTCCCATGTCGTGCGGGGAGGTGAGGCATATGGCATCCCAGGATATTCAGGGTTCCAGATGAAAGATGCAGGGAACCAGCCCTACTGGGTTATCCTGCCTGTGGGTGGGGCATCAAAGAGATGCCTCCTCCCTGTCCTATGTTCCTGCATCTGATAGTCCAAGGTACACTGGTTATGCTCTTGGAGGGTCCATTTAGCTCTCCCACCTCAGCTTTGTCTAACCCACCTAAGCTAGTGACCTTTCTTATATCTAACAGCAGTGAGCACCTGCCACTGGTGTTACCAGGGTAGCTCTTTGAGGGTCCTGCTGAGAGGAATGAACTGCAGAGCTCCCAAACACAGTAGCTGCCCCTTCGCATATTTTGAACTATGTGAAGTCATACATATTTCCAGAATACCATCTGAAGAGGGGTGGGGACAAAGATCATTAAGTCTAAAGTCAACCAAACTGCACCAGTTACTCCTGCTGTTTATTACAGCTTGCAAATGACAGTTTGCACATATATATTAAACACACAATATTTCCAGTGCTAAAACTTCAATTGCTTTTAGTATGCATATCTAAAATTTAGCTTCAAACTGGTAAATGAGCTTTAGGTCTTCCTTACTAATCACCCTATTTTATTTTTTACAGAGGAGAGAAGTCTAGATTAACTTCTGATATTTTTAATTTGTTTGAGCCTTGCTTGGTTTAAGAACAGAGCCAGATATTCACAGTCAGAAGCTGAGAATTCCCCAATAGCCCTCTGGCATATTGTAATATATTTGGCTTTCTTCCTCACCGCTTGGAACCTCTGCCTCTTTGGCTGATCACACAACTTCCGGCCCTCCTTAACCAGAATAAAAGAGAGAAATAAAGCGGAAAAAAGAAAGGAGGATAACTTACCTGGCCAGCAGTGGCAACGCCTCATGAGTCGCTCTGAGGACAGAAGGCGATGGAACCAGTGAGGGTAAGACATCTGCTCTGCGATTCCCCAGCCCATGCCATCATTGCCAGAACGTCTTCTCGCTCAGCCTCGCTTCTCCTGCTTGCTATAACAAAAGAGGCACCAGGCACCACACTGCTCACACCCCCCTGCTCTTCGCCATCCCTGCCCTCTCTGATCGCAGAGTTGTCGGTCTCCATCTCTGCTACCACCCACCCGCTTGCCACTCCGCCTTGCTACATTCCCCTTGCCATGCTTGCTGCTGCTGCTTTCCCTCTGTGTGTAGAGTACAAATGATTTTTCTGGGTAATATAGCTATTTAAAGGGTTGGAGAGGGGAGGGAACTGGCAGGAGAGGGAGATGGGTCCATGTGATCGGAGCATCATCTGTTCTGAATGAACAAGGAGGGAAGGGAAGGGAAGGTGGAAAGAGAGAGGAAAAGGGGGCAGACGGGGAGGGGTTGTACTGTGCCTATCCTTGCCTTTCAGGCTGCGCAGATAAGACCAATGTGGGGCAAGGGAGGGAGGGGTGACAGAGGTGAGATTAAACATTAGTTGCCTTGAGAAAACACGACTGCCTGCGTTTTCTTTACTATGCCTTCTCCGCTGTCAGTTCTGCATTTCTCATTCCAGGCACACCCAAGTAGTCCTCAAGGTTCTCCCCTCCCCTCTCTCATAGTAACTCCAGGCAGTAGACATATAGAAGCTGAAGATGGCTTCATGAAATGTGCATGTGTGCACATCTGTGTACACACACCCTTTTGCAAATGATCAAATAAAAGAAGCACCCATGAAAAGTGTATCTTTAGGGAACATGAGTCAAGGATGCAATCTGGGAAGAAAGAATCCAGAGGAACCAGTCCTCATCATGGCTTGGCACATGTCTTTAAGGTGGACTTCCCAGGTCATGGGGTCGACAGGCTGGCTGAATGCTGATTGCTGCCCTTGGCGACTCTGATGCATCTCAAGAGTAGCCCAAAGGCCTCACTCTGCACAGGGTTACAAAGAAGAGCTGAACTCAGTGCCACTTCTCGGAGAGCGCAGTCCAGTGCACGCTTGGCTGGCAGTATGCTTGTTTGACCTCAGGGGGACCTAGCTGAGGGTACAAATATGTCTGGCAATGAGGTGTAAGTCTTCCATGAAATTGGCCCCCAGCCCAGCTGCAGATGTTATGCATAATACTGGACAGTATGGATGCCTGTTCGTATTGAAATAATGATTACATTTCTTTATTCCACCCATTAATCAATGCTCTTTAAATAAATTTATTACATATTCTCCCCAGTTTCTCCAAGGAGGTTGGGGCAATAATCATCTCTCTCTCTTCCCGCTCATTGATTCTCAAGACATCACTGTGTGGTAGGCAAGGCAGAGAGACAGTGTCTGGCTTAGGGCCACTCCAATGAGCTTGCATGAAGGGTAGGGATTAAGCTTAGACACCCAAGCTCCTACTCCCATGCCCTAACTTGGGGGTTCCAGAAGACATAGAAACATAGAATAGCAGAGCTGGAAGAGACAAGAAGGCCACTGGGTCCAATTCCCTGCTATTGCAGGACACTAAGTTACACCTTCCCCTTCGTTGGACTACATCTCACGTTGTCCCTCACCATGTGCCATGCTGGCTGGAGCTGATGGGAGTTCATCCGGAACATCTGGAAGGCCACAGCTCCTCACCCATGTTCTAACCACCACACCACATCAAATCTCAGATGTCATGCTTAACCAATTCAGTAGGACTTGGAAAGAATTCTAATAAAGATGGAGAAAGAGGATGATGGTACTTTATAGGTTTACAAGATCTTACAGATGAATGTAGAAGCAGAAATAGGAGAAGGTGGAAGGAGGAATGGAGGTGGGGGTAAGTGGGTAAATGGATGCAGCACATATCCTTTGGGCTGGTTGCAATGTGACACTGGTGCATTGGGCTGTTCATTGGCTGTTAATCCACTGCATCAACTTTTCCTTGCCAAAGAATTCAGATCTAAGCAGTACAGAAGGGGCATTTCCATTCCTGATTTTCTGGTATATAAGCTTCAGGCGGCACTGCAGCAGAGCAGAGCAGTGCAAGTACTGCAGATAAAATTATTCTTGTTTTTGGTCTCACAAGGGCCAATGCAGTTCAATGGTGCTGGGCAGGGACTTGGGAGATCCGGGTTCTGATCTGCCATGAAGCTCTGCGGGTTGACTTTGGGCCAGCCACTGCCTCTCAGTCTAAGCCACCTCACAGGTTGTTATGAGGATGATGGAGAAGAGGAGGATTGTGTAGGTCATTTTGGGTTCCTTGGATGAAAAGGTGGGATATTAAAATAATGAATAAATGCCACATTTCACCTGTTCTAAAACAGGTCGCCAAATAGACTGGTGAAGCACAGAGGCAATGTTGTCTTGAAATCCTGTAAACACCTGGGAATAGGCAATGATGAGTACACAATTGATATCTCATACAGAAATTGCTCCAAAGGCTCCATCTGAATGCACAACTGCATTGGTCCTCCATAGAAATAGCTCCCACCGGGTCAGGGCAAAAAGTGTAAAGGATCGGGGGGACTTACAAGCAAATATTGCAGGGTGTGGAGACACAATTCCCATTCTGCATTCTCATCATGTATTCCTCATGGTTACCACATTTTACTCCTACCACCATTTGATCCATTTTGTTCTCCTTCCCCCAAGTCAGTCAGTTTTCTGGCTGAACATATCCTGCCTTGCACTGGACTCTTGTGGATGGTTCTCCCCAGCCGTCCATCCAGCCCATCCTAAAGGGTTTTTTAAGGGGGGAATGTCTTCTGCAAACCTTGAGCTTCCTTCAGGCCTCCTGATATTCCTTGTGCATGGGCGGTACAATTTTGGTTGGGCTAGATTAAACAAGGAGCTGCCCAAGACCAGTTCTATGTCTCAAGCATCTTTTATATGCCCTCTGTCCAATACAGGATCTGTCCCCGCTCTTCCAAGGAATGCTCAATGGGCCATGATGTCAATCTTCATATCAGTGTTCATCTGTTTCATGAAAAGCAAATGAGTAATGACCTCCTCTAGGAGTCAAACTTAAAAGATGTCCATCAGTTTAGCCATGAGCAACTCTATGCACATAATTAGGGATGATTTAAAGTTGGTCTCTGAGTCAAGGATGTCTCATGAAATCTTCAGGAGATTCTGACACAAATAGCCAGAATCCATTCATGTTTACTCAGAAGCAAGGCCCAGTTAGTTCAATGGGACTTACCTCTGGGGAAGAAAGTATAGGATCAGTGGCAGTTTTGGGTTTTGGAGGACCCTTGGAAAGACATGCTCGACACCCCACTCCCTCCATGTGCCAACCTTTTCACCAGACACCATTTCTCCTCCTTTTCTTTCCCTCATTGCTACAACCTGCTTGACAGGTAGAAAGCTGTCAACAAATAGGCAGAGGAAATCTCCTTCTCTCCTAACCTACTTTTCCTAGGCTTGAGTATGTGGCAGGTGAACAAGTGGATTACAACAGTGGATAGGAGATAAAGTCCAGGGGTGTCTCATCATTTGGCCCCTGCTGGAGAGTGGGGTCTAACTCACTGTGGCAAGGATTGCATTTGCTCAACACTGGAAAAGTGAGGAATTACCCACCGACGAACTGATTCTAAGAAAGATCCTGGACTGTACAGAAATGGATAGATTGACTTTATCACTGAAGGAGAAAGAAGATACTGACTTCTATCAAACTTGGGAATTTTTTATTACTGGCTGGAGAAACGGGACTTGGCTCAGATTTAAAGATGTTTTTAAGTTGTTATAAATGGATTTGATAATGACTATAGAATGTTTGAAGAAAAAATATGTAGTAGGGGGCTGACCCAGTATGTCCGATGTATTTTATGATTGATGTTTTTAGTAGTAGTTTAAAAATCCTAATAATAATCTTTAAAAAGAGAGAGAGAGAGAGAGTGGGATCTAAGCATGTTCTCACCCTGAACCCTACTCCCAAAGATCAAAACCCACAAAGAAAGGGGAGAAAACAGATCCAGGATTCAAGAAAAGGAGCATGCAATTTTTGCAAGTATTCTTCCCCCAATAGGCATGATTCTCACAGACTCACATAGAGCTTGTTGGATTTTTCCAGCTGGGCCAAGATGACAGACATGCGGCTCCTACACTCTTTCTCAGTTTTCTCTTGTGTTGCCCCATTTCAACCAGCTTTGCATTCTGCCAAACACATACTGGCAGCTGAGCAAGACTGTTTGCCTTAGGTATAGGTGCTATTCGTGCTTGCAATTGTAATGCCATATGGAATGGTACAGATCCAGGTGCTAAAAGGATGTCTAATTGTAAATAATAATCCAACTGGCATCAGCAGTGTTGGAATAATCCCACTGGCTGAAGTTTCGTGCTCACTGGAGAAAAAAGCCATGGAAATTCTGATTTGGAAGACATTCCCCCCAATGCATCTACTACCTTTAGATGATGTGGAGACCACTTAGGTTAATTAGCCAATCCATGCAGCATGAGACCTGCACTTGGAGGGGGGTGGGGTGGGGTGGCAGCGGTGAGGTAAAGAAGTCGCCATGGCTTTTTTCCACTAATGATCAGGCATGCCCAGCCACTGTCATGTCCTCCTTTTCTAGATATTGCTAGAAGCCCCAGGAAATCAGAATCAACACATTAATGGAGGGGTTTCTCATGCTGGAAGGCATTTTCCTCATTTCTGCTGGGGGCTGGACCACAGCTCACTTGCTTTGCATGCAAAATCCTTGTCTGGATGAGCTAATTCTCCTGCCTCAAACACAGAATTTTACAGGGGAAGCTCTGCCTGCCCCTTCCTGTGTTTCCAGCCACCTCTTACATTGTTGTGTTGTGTTATTATTTTATTTCTTAAAATAACAATTGTATTATTAATTATTAATTTTATTTATATATATTGTTAAATTATACACACACATACATACATCTATGTGTATATATAGTTTTAAAAAAACATTTTAATAACTAGTTTCCATAGACCTTTGTTTTCTATGTTTTGCTGTATTTTACTGTTGTTTTTAATTGTAATGTGTTACGGTTTTTATTATGTTTTACTGTTTTTATCTCATGTTGTGAGCTGCCCAGAGGTGCTGTGGCACAATTGGGCAGCATACACA